TGCATAAAGTGCTGTCCTACACTTTATAGATACTGCACGTATGGTGAAGGCTGACATGCTTTATAGACGTGTAAAAGGTAGAGGGAGTTTTAAGAGTCCATGCAGTAAAGCCTCGCACTTCTTATCAGAGACGCGTCATAAACATGTGCTGCTGCATTTCTCTGTTCGGGGGAGCTTTGGATAACCTTATCGTTAAGTGTGAGTTTAAGTTCCATCCCAATTAGGGTTCCTTTTTTTCACTGGATTTTTCCTGTGAAGCTTAGTGAACAATCATGATTGAAACGATTTATGTGAACTGTTTCTTGAAAGACAGTCAGCTTGTTGCTGCTTTAAAGCAGAGGAAAATGTGAAAGGAAACTGTTGGTAGGAGCAGTTAGCGAAACCTGGATTCATGGCTCAACAAGCAGGAAATAGCAAAAGCTTGTAAACAGGTGAGAAGTTTTGTGTAATAAATGTAAGTTACTAAGCAGGGACACATTTTATTTTCATAAAGGGAAATTACATGAGCATAAAACATGAAGATGTTCATACTAACGATTTTTGAAGGAGATAAATAATTGAGATTTTGTGTATTATTTGGTAATTATGATTTTGGGGGCATGTTATAAAGTACATTCAGGATATCTCCTTTTCTTCCAGAATATGGGCTAAATTCCTAAATCTTGAAAACGCTCAGGGTGAAGAAAGGTACTTCAGGCACCGTGTAAAGCTAAATGAAACATGTCTAGCTTGAGGGAATCCTGCACCTAGCCTGGCTGCACAGCTGACGTTACCTAGAGCAGCATAATAGGTGCTGTAAATTGCTTTCAAAGAGGACTAAAATAACAAAATAAGGGGAGTATTAATCTTCCAGCATCCCTTCTTGAACAGGAGATGTCCTCAGACCTCAGTCTGTCTGTTTACAGTGAGACGGTTTGGAGTTTAGGGCTGCACTGATGTCTGGCACCTCTCCTGTAGCCAACCTGTTTTTAAGCTCCCTCAAAGGCTTACGCTTGCCTTCTAGCTTAGGCTAGGATGAGCTGCCTTCCAACATCTTTGAATCATGGCTGCTTTTACTTGCCCAAAAGTTATCTGTGCTGAATCCTTCACTTCTTTCCCTTCTGGCCACTCATGCACTCAGTGAGCACAGCAGTGAGTTTGCCCCCTCAGGCTGTACTTGGGGTGTCCTACGCTGTGATCTCTGATGGCCAAAAGCAGCTCTGTGCTCAGGCTAGACTGTGGAGCAGACTGGCGAGTTGCATTATGAATTGCTTGAACTTCAGTTCTCATTTCTGAACTCTGGATTTTGAAAAGTAGTAATAAATTACAGCTTGGCGTAACTCAGCACCTGTGAAAACCGGCCCCCATTCATCCCTCACCTTGAGTCATGCATTACGGTGACAGCCAAATGTGCTTTTTTTAACCAAGCTGAAACAGTACTGTGCTGTAGCATGAATAATCCAGAGTTATTCGCAGACAGTCAACTTCAGGTAGACAGTCTCCCGAGTCTGAAAGACGGGTACTTAGCCTCAGCAGAATGATTCTGATTGCCCAAACGATGACCCACAGCTTAAACTACCTTCCATACAGACAGCGGAAGATCTAAGCACTTCCAAGAAAACAGTCAAAGGGTCTATATTAGGAATCATTTTACTGTTGACTATGTTAGGAGCACTGCTGCGGGCCTGGTCATGGTGCCTGCACGTGTACTTAGTCAGTGCTAGATTATGGTTGCTGGCATATGGCAGTTCTCAGAAAACAAAGAGAAGAATATAAAAACTTCTCTAATTTGTTGAACAATGTTTCTAACACTGGAAGTGTGGGGCTACGATCAGAACAGTGTCACAGTTTTACTGAAGCCAAAGTATGTTGTTAAACAGAAAACAGTTCTAAGAAATGACTTGCGATATTTTCAAAAATAATAAATCAAGCCTTGTGCCTCAGTTTTGCTCATAAATTTTTTGTCAGTGACATACAGTGTTTCAGAACAGGGCAATTTTTAGCTGATCCATTTGGGAGAGAGTCATAAGCGAGTGGAGTTTGCAGAAGGAATGTGTGCGCGCCGGGACAAACTGGGAAATATCCGCACAGGCCGTCCGCGAGATGGGATTCCCAAGCTGCCAAGGAGCCAGCTGGGAAAGAACGGCAGGGGCACCAGGCCCGGGCAGAGCCGCTGCTGCCGACGGCTCCCCCGGGACTTGGCGCAAGTGAACTGCCGCTGCAGGAGTTCATCAGCACGCCAACTTTGATTTCGGGAGTGTTTAGGCTGGAGTTTTTCCCAAATTCTCACTATGCGTTTCCCAAACTTTCTTCCCAAGCTGGCTCAGTACTGCAAAGCAATGCGAATGTTTCCCATATGAGTCAAACGAGGTTTATGGCACATGTGACGTGATTCTGAGTACCTGCTCAGCACTGAGGTGAATTTCATGTGGGAAATTGATATCAGTGGAAATCTTAGAAAGAAAAGAAAAAGGTGATTTATTAGGGGCAGTATCTCAATTTGATGCTGGCTTAAATTTTCCCATGTCTGTCTAAAAATTTTGCCGATTTTCTAACCACATAAGCAACATGGCAACACAGATTGCACCATTCTGTCTTCCAAATGGTTCTGCAATGATATACAGCATTAAGGAAGCCCTTTTATTAATGGCAGTGTACTTGGCAAAGGACCCAGGAACTGCATCAGTGAGAGAATTGTTTAGAAACGTGTTTATTTTAAACTTTTGGGTTGGGGTCTTCTGGTTCACTGGGTTTACATGGTTGTAGCTCTTGTGACCTTGGCAGAACCTATGACTAATTTAACCCAGCACAACTCAGTAGAATCAAACCAAAGAGAGATGCTGAAACTACCGCTAGTGTAAAAAAAACCTCTATTTTTAGTCTGGCATTTAGAAATGAGCTGGGAGGTTTCAGCACTGCAAGAGGTTCCTGGAGAGGTTAATCTAAGGTAATGCCTGGGAAATCAGTTTAGTGAAACACTTTGTTTATTTTAGCACTAGTTTATTGTTAGTTTATTTTAGTTTGGGTTTTTTATTAGTTTATTACATTAGTTTAATTTAGAACACTAGTTTATTTTAGCTAATAACATTTTTGGGCAGCAGTCCAAACATTCGTTAGGCAGGACAGATGGAGAGAGATAAAAAGTAAAACCTTGGGCTCTTCACAGCTACAGTAGATGTTCCACATGGATGTACCAGTTCAGCAACAGTCAAAAAAGCAAAGGTTTTCTAGAGGGTTATGTATAAACCAGAGGCAGTTCACTCTCCCCTTTGCCACCCAGGCTTAACCAAGCCACTTGCTGTCAACACCTCTCTTGTTTTCTGTACAGTAGTAAAAACTGCCCTTTCGCCGAGCTGTGTCAGGGGTAGCCTTAGTTCATCGATCACGGAAAGCATAAAAGGATCTTTGCTGTCTTCTCCTGTCAGACCTGTGCCAACTGCGAGCCCGCTGCAATGTGTGATCGAGGTCTTATAAGGAAACAAACAATGCCACAACTTTGTTTTTCAGTTCCCATCCAAAAATGGTATGCAAACTGATGACCTTTAAATTTTAAAGACTGCTAACATTTGAGGCCATGACTTTACAAGTCATATCTCATCAAAATAAATTGTTATGGCCAAATATTGCGATACAGCCATACCTATTCCTGAGCACGTACCGTAGTACAATCTTGTTTATTCTAAGCTAAGTCTTTTTCGATTAAAAAATATGAAATTTGAGGCCATTTTAACTGATAAAGAATGTTTTTCTTCATCATTTACAATCTTTTTGAAAAAGAAACTTACAAAAAATGTATCCCAAAACATTTCTGTGTGATTTTGCCTCACATTTACATATAATAAAGCTCCCCTAAGATGGTTTGCTTGCAGTGTTTCTGGCTTATGTTTTAAATAATAGCATTAATGTAGGGAGAAACTCAAGACTGGGAAGAAATCTCCCCTGTTACTGTGTGTTACAGATTCCCATCTTTTTTACTCTGTTTCATGTGTTGCTTTTTTGTTTTACAAGCTTTTCCTGAGGCACTTACAAGTTGAAATACACCTCCTACGAGTCAGAGTGACTCCATCGGGGCACCTGGGCTTTATGCAGTAGAAGGGAGGCTGGTTAGAGAAAGAAAAAAAAAGCAGTTTCTTTTTCCCTGAAGACAGCCTTGCTGTACTTCCCACTCCTTCAAGACGAACATGGCATGTAGTGTTGTCATAGTATTACTGGTATGTAGTGTTGTCATCCTCCCACTGCGTTCCCCGGGGCAGAGGAGGCTTGTGAGCCGTTCAGGTTGTACACCCATCCCTGTGTGCTGCATTTGTTGAGGGACCAGGACACTGCTGGGACCTCTAGTAAATTTGTAAATGGGAGCGCTGCAAAGTTAGGAAAGGCAAGAGGATCAATTTCTTTCAGGCAAATAGATTCTGAGACTTGGCTTAAGATCCTATTTCAAAGGCAAGCTGCAATATTTACATGGCTCAGAAATTTAAGAGGTGGCAGTTGATCCATGATGAATGTCATTCACTATTGACTCTGCCAAAAAGATATGTCATTTATTCTACCTGTATTAAAATGTTGGATCATTCCACTGCCTCCACAGTAAATGAAATGGATTTTTGCTTTGTCTTAAATGTCATGTTCATTCATGGTGATAAAAAAAAAAAAAAACAACGTCAATGCCCTTCTTTGATTCTGCCACCATATACATTAGCTGAGCTCTTTCTCTTAAAACAGTCATTGAGATGAGATTGAAGTTGAAGGCCATGCAGGCGCACACTGGTACTGCACCGTTCAGTCAAGCTGGAGAATAACAGGGCTTTTCCTCACTTCTACCTTTTATCAGTCTGCTTGGCACATGGTTCTGCTCTCCAGGCCTTTCATGACACAAGTGCAAACACAGACAAATGCATCGTACAAACCATCAAGCTCTTACTTTGATTTGTGTTTTTTTCCAGAATCACTGTTCAGTTAGAAAAAAATATACCAGGAAAAGTTTTTTAAATGCTTCTTCTTTGGTCTGCTCTTGTATTTTGCAGCTGACACGACACTGGGAACAGATGATGTTTATGATGATAAAGGGTGCCAGTGCGATGTGTCAGTAGAAGATCTGACCCCTGCTCTTAAAACTGTCATCCGAGCAATCAGGTGAGTGAAAAATGCTAAGTGAATAAACATCTGAGATTTCTGCAATTATCATATTAATTAATGCCAGTTAATAACATAGTGAGCTTCTTATATGGCTTTGTTACAACACTAGTAGGTTTGGTAGTATAGGTAGTTTATCCTTCCTTTTCCTCAGTGTTTTTATTAAGAGTGAAATACTTTAACAGTCCTGTTAATCATGTTTCAAGGTCTAAAAAATGCTGTATAATTTGACTCAAATGAGAAGGAAAACAATGAATCCTGACATCCAGTATATTTCCTGTAATGCAAAGTACTGTAATCCATTTTGATGGATTAGTTTTAGTGAAGGTGTACTGCCTTGCCTGGAAAAGTTATTTCCTGTTAGTTAATAAGTTTGCCTTTTTAGTTTATTTCCATATTTCTGAAAGTGTCATGTGACTTCTGTTATGACGCACCTTTTTTCTGCAGGATAGCTCTATTCTTCCAGTTGTGTAAAGCCTTACCTACCACTATCTGTCAAGCTAAATATAAACCCCAAATTTTAAAACTTATAGTTTCTTTCTCTTTCAAGAAAGTAGCAAACTGCATTGAAACTTACAAAATTACCCTCTGTCAAAAGGTTAAACTTAGTATTCACTCTCCAGAGACTGCCAAGGTTCCTAATCTTCCTGAATATTTTGAAGTGCAAATCTTGACAGGCAAAAGTCCCACAGTAAAAGTATAAATCAAGAAGCAAAGGGAGCTGTGTCACTGCCTCCCTGCTGACAGCAAAGCCTGATGTTGCTACTGGGGTCACCTCACCGGGCTGGTGTCACAGTTGCACCAGTGACCCAGCACTCCTTGTAGGCAGGCAGCTGCCACGAGGGATTTGGGCAGAAATCCGTGGGAAAGATGGTGCTTTCCTGAAGGGAGGCTCCTGCGTTAGTTCTCTCAGCACGCTGGGAAGAAGGAACTGTAGCTCATTATCAAATAATTGCATATGGTGATGACTACAGGCTACTTGTATTTCCTTCCCCTTTTTCCACTGATTGCTAATGAAGTCGGATAGTAAGGCTGTTTCTAAAGTTTTGCACCAGGCAGAACAGCTTCACAGATCATTGTCCATTCCAACCACCTTTCCAATCTGCCTGGAAACGAACCCGGAGGACATGTCAAATGTTAGGTCCGTATGCGCAGCCATTGCCACTGACCACTCAAACGTCACCACTGAGAACTTGCTAACGGTGCTTCAACAGCGGAAAGAAATCCTTCTACACATGGGACACCCATCCACGAGGTAGACCTCTCCCTCCAAATGGAAAATGCGCAAATTAGGAACATCAGCCTAATCAGTTGGCTCTGATACCAAAGATCCTTGTCTGTGATGTTGCAATTTTAAACAGACTGCTTGACTCTTGGCTCCAAGGTCACCTTGCCACTATATTAGCAAGTGACACCGATAGTCATCTCATTCTTCATGCTGTCCAAGTTCTTTAAGGCCTCCTACTTGACTTTTAAATACTAACTAAATTCACTGACCTCTTTCCAAAGGCACTACTAGATCATTCGAAGTACGATGCTGCCTTAGTCTCTTGTTGGAGCTCTTGGTAATTATGAGCATAAGTCACTGAATTGGAAGGTTCTCATTGCTAATTTTCCTCCCCAGAGTCCTGCATAGAAATGTGCTAATAAGACAAATTTTGCAACAATCTTTGTGCCGGACATGCACTATTTAACTGATAAGAGTAAACTTTTTATATTATCTCCAAATTTTCCCCTATCCACATGATTTAGCAAAGATCAATCCCTTTCATCACTGAGGTTGAGAATATGAGTCTTGCATCACCTCCTGTTATCGATTTTCAGTGAATGTCTCCCACCTCTCCCTCCAAATGTAATGGGGTGCTTTACTGGATTGTGAGCCACATACACATCCTGCTTCAGAAAAGTGTCTTTGTTCAAGGTCTGAAAAGCAGTAATATGCAGTATTTCCAAAAAAACCTATTAAAAGTTATACCTTTATCTCTCAAATTTAAGGGAAAGATAATTTGGTTCATGAGTTAGATGATACTCCTCTTTCTTGTTATTCAGAGTGTCTGTTACCTGACCACAGTAAGATCTATGCAAGCATCTGAAGAAGGATCTGGGACACTATATAGTAACTGTAGAATTTCAGGATGATAACATCTGTCTATATGGAAACTTTGTCCCATGTTCCTCGTTTTGAAGTTTGTTTTTAGCGAGGACTTTGCATTGCAAAGGAATTGGGGGAGGGTTGAGGCTGCTTGTCTTTGCATGCGGGTGTACAGGAGACAGAAGGTACATGAACAGCTCGACAGGTCACCAAAACATGTGAAAAACACACACAGTTGAATCCATTTTGGTTCCATCACCTCAGAAACTGCACTAAGGGAGACTAATTATTTTTTCCTACTCAGAATGGAGTCCGAGCTGTTCTGTAATAATACAGATTTTCCTTTTGTTTGGGAGGAAATGAACTTAGCAAAATTAATTCATGCCAAGGCCTCTCTCAATTTAGGAATGAGAAGGCACTCCTTTTTCTCTAAAAAAAAGCTCAGGATATGCCCATTTCTCCCAGATTGGGCAGCCTTGAAATATCACAAGACAAAAATTGAGTCAGTTGTAATGTGTCATTTCAATAATTTTAGTGAGACACTTTAATTTTGACCTTATTTATTTTTTTCCTAGGGCTACTTATTGTTTAGAACAGCCTTTTGATTATAAACAAACACCTGCCTTTAAAACACTTTCATTCTGAAGTGATCAAAATAGGAAATGGAGAAAATAGTCTTTCCTGCAAATGTTGCAATTTTCTTAAAACATTGGCACTTTGTAAGAGTGGAGTTCCCAACCTCTCCTGCAGCAGAAGAGTCCAGTTAATATTTGGTACTAACTTAGATTGGTATCAAAAAGCTTTTTGCAAAACTCTTGCTAGCAATATAGCAAGAGCAGAAAACATGACAAATATGCCAAAAGCTTGTGGTATATTGAGCCTTTGTGTCAGCAGCCTTTGTAGTACTAGCCAGCAATCCCTAGTCCTGTTGTGAACACAAAGCTCTTCATATCCTGCAGTCAGAGTTCCTGAAGCCCAACAAAAATATCACATTTTTTCAGCTATCTCTGTTTGCAATTATGAAGGTATATAAAAGAGACTAAAAAGAATGGTGCCTTGTTTCCATATATTATCTGTGATCATTTTTGATAGCAAGAGACACTGAATTTTGTAATATTCCCCACAATGAAAAGGATGGAATTATTTCATTACTTACAGAATATAAAATTAAATTTGAGAAGCGTAAATAAACATGCAATAGGGAATAACTGCAGTGGCAGTAAGATGAACTTGCTGACCTGAGGAGTCTTTCCCATCCTGAACTCTAGTTATTGCATAGATATATTTTCATTTGTTGTTAATAAGAAATAATAATAATGTAGCTAAGTATAACGACACCTCAGAATTCCTGAGCTGATAAGTTATACAGTAAGATAGTCATACATATTTCATAGCCAAAGAAGGAAAATAGAATTTACTATTTATGTCTGGTTTTGCTTTCTTTGAAATCTGCTTTTGCTGTGCTATAAAACATATTTTTCCTCTCAGCGGACAGCATGAATTTGTTTTATGGTGCTGTTTCAGAACCCTCTACTTGTTTTAAATCACAACATATTGGGCATTTCCCCGTCGAGATCATCTTTAGTGTTTCGATGGGGCTGTTAGATGTGTCTTTGGCTACCAGAGCACCGTGCTTGGGAGAACCGTATGGCTTTGCCTCCTAGGCTATGAGTTGGGCTCATAACCCAGGAGAGGCCTGGGAGAGAAGACAATGTTGACCAGGGTCTCTGCACTTGGTGCCAAGAACTTCCTTTGCCTTCGTCTTAGCGAGTTGAGTAGCTGCTCCGTTGAGTTTGTGATGGGTCTTTCTTGCCCCCTAGTGGTGTGACTAGAAAAGACGGGCCTGGCTCTGCACTTACTCGTTGTGTTAAGCGCTACTACTGTTTCAGGTATTTGAGATAGGGATAACTTCGTGCTCATTTTTCACGCATTCTCTATATAGTGCTAATAATCTTTCATGATGGTTGTTGAGACCTATTAAGCTCAGTTGCACAGGTAATTCAAGATACAGAAAGAAGATTGAGCCTTTGAGACCAAATAACTCTGAAGAATAAACAAAACATATTATCTACAAGCATTTGCTGAGTTCCATTGCTGCAAGAATTGAGATTTTATATTTTCAGTAGCTTCCAGGCTTTTATAATGCCAGTCTTCTTTAACCCTTCATTATTGCACAGTTTATGTAAAGCTCTTTAGATTTGAAGCAAAAGGAAGCAAGCGACCAGAGCCTGTTCCAAACCCCGCTGCAGTTCATTAAGATGGCATGATACGAGCTAACACCTGAAGCAGAAGTGGATTTGCACCGTGCTGATAAAGGCAGACTCCTTTCAGCCCTGAATTAGTCTTCTGAACACTATGAACATACTGCCTGACACCAAAAACCTATTAGAAAGCTGCCAAACAAAAATTATTAGAAAGCTGCCAAACAAAAATCAGGATTTCTGTGCACACTGATTAAGAAGTTTCTGTGGCTGTTGATAAGAAATAGTTTTTATCGGCTTTTTATTAGTTTTATAAGTGTCCCATGTACTGTAAAAGCACCTGGTTTTGGGAAATTCACTACTAATTCACTACTAATTCTCTGGCTCCACTTTTCTAATTGAGCTTCCTATTTTTGTCAAGAGCATGGAATAAACAAATTGTGACCACCAAAATAGATGAAATAATAATTAAAGAACAATACATTCTTGTATGTCAACTACATTCCTTTATTCTTCATATTCTTCATAACCTGAATAAAGAACGAGATTCCCAGGAGATTCTGTGTGCTACTAGACTACTATGGACAGAATATCTTGGCAGCATTTGACAGCTAAAAGGAAAAAATCCAGATCACACCTTCAGAGACCTTCAGATTACAAAAGACACCAAAGCTATTAGCCTATGGAAACGCCTCAGAAAGGAAAAGGGGAAAATGTATCATTTAGCATATTTAAAACTTCAAGGAGATAGATCCTGAACTGTCAAGGCGATGGAATATTCCTAGCAGGTCTTTTCCATTTTTACTTCTGTAATCAAAATCATATTTCAAGCTCTATACCAGTGATAAGCATTTGTATTTTACACTGAAAGTTATCAGAATGGGAAAGATTAACAACCTATACACTATGGCAAAAGACCGATATTATTTGGAAGAACATTCTTATATAATACAGAATTCAGTAGATGATCAGAATATATTATTAAGCTGACTCTACGTAACTATTATCATAATGTCCTAACTATATAAAGTGTGTTTCTTTCCTGACATTTCAGTAAACACTGCTGAACTACATTTATCATAGGGTGAGAAACATGGATGAGGGTTTTCCCTGTCATTCGTTGTCTTGCAGCCAATAAATACACAACCTAATAAACTTTCAGATGTGGAGCAGGGTAGCAATTTACTGACACAAGTTCTGTAACAGAAACAAGAATGGCCTCCATACTTGCTCTTTCAAGGTGTCGAATGTCCTCCAATTTTCATTTAAATGAATAAGAGTCACAGGTGTTACAGGCTGACTTGGAAAATGAGATTTTATCAATGAACATTACATTTCCACATATTGCTAAAAATGTGTACAAGTCTCACACAAAAGCATTCTTAATATTTGTGTATTTACTATTATATTAGTCCTACTACTTTGCAGTAAAATTCAAGAAAGAAAATCAGCAATTCCACTAAACAGTCATTCCCACAGACACACCCAATATGGGATACACAAGAAAACTTCCTAGACTGAAAATTTAATCTTAAATCAGGAAAATAAATAAATTTAAAAGAAAACATAAGCTTAAATAATAATTTTAAAAAATTTGAAAATGGATTAGGTACATAAATTCAAAAACTATACAGAATAGAAAGTGAGGAGTTTAAAAAGAACACCAGAAAAAAGAATGGTATTTATGTCCATGTAATTGATTTGCTAGAGGGATCTACCTATCTTTTTAAAGCGTATGGATATGACTCTGATTGCTGAAAACAGAATTAAGAGATAAAAACTGCACACAAAACTATTAAATAGATACAATGCAAATTTTCCTTAAAATAACAAATCTTCATTTTTATATGCACACATTTATCTTTATGGGAAGGTCTGTAAACAACTTGTGAGGCTTTTTCATATTCATTCAGAATGAAGAAACCAAATAGGGAAAATACAAAGGGCATTTACTAACCAAACACACAGCTTTCAAAGGAAGCAAATCAGCAAGAAAGAAAAGGAGCATTCAATCCAAGCTTGCAAATGACAGGAGAAAGGACCTGATGGCCATGCTTTGGCTTAGAAAGTAGCTTAAACACAATTGTAGCTTAAAGGATATGGATAGTCTCACTCAGGTCACCAGGGCTAACCACAGGCTTTAGTTAACTCTGCATCTCAATACCTTCCAAAGCAGGCACTGGGCATAAAAAAGCAAGGTAGATGTACAGTGGTAAATTGAAGATGCTCTGCATTCTTCAAAATCATGTCTCTTACATAAGACTCTGAAGGGATAACAGCAATACATTTGTGCTTACAAAAGCAAATTTTGTAAAAGGAATATTTTGCTTGCATAAGTCATTCCTGGTCTGAGGAAAATATCCTCACTGTTAAAAGAAATCAGCTGTTGATATGTTGACATTTAAATCTATTGCATTGTTTCACACTTGTTTGGAAGGTTAATA